ATATATGCACATAAATATATATATGTATGTGTACGTATACATATAAATATAATACAGATTGTACATATACATGAAACGCATGTACATATGTATTGTACATAAATTATGTATGTACAATGATACAATATCTTTACGTATGCGTATATAAACATATATGAAAGATATTAACTTGTGTACACCATATTTATATGTATAATATGTGAATTTATGTAATTATAAATTTCAAAACACTGTAATTGTGAAAAAAATATAGTAATATGGAGTTAGAAAGATAGAGAAAAAAAAATTGTGATTCAAAAGTAAAATTAAATATTTTTTTATCAAAGTAGAAAAAAGAAAAATATGAAACAAATGTGACTTTAAATGATAAAAAATAAAATAAAATGTGAGTTGTAGAAAAAAAACAAACAGAGGAGAAAGGGAAGAGAGGAGAAAGGGAAGATGAGAAAAGTGAGAAAAAATAAAAAATAATAAGTTAAGGGCATTTTCGTCCGAAAAGTATGCAAGTGATATTTTGTCTATCAAAACACGTTTCTGACATTTTTGTATTTAGAAATGAGTTTTTGTGATTTTTTAGCAGTTTTCTCTTTTAATATTATATGCAGCGCACTTTTTCCTTTCGATAGCTAATATGTCAGTGGTAGTGAATTGGAGCAATGAATGAATGGAATGAGTTAGTTCTTTCGTAGTTAGTTATATGTCAAAGATCAGTAATCAGGTTTTAGGATCTTGAAACATGAGTTTTGGAGTACTCTGGCAGATTAATAGTTGTTTTTGTCTAGAACTTGATGACATATTAGTTCTTGTAGTTTTGGCTAATTTGTTTCTATGAAAACATACTTGCTTATTCTACTAGTAACAAACTTTTTTCAATATATGGTTGTAGTACTATTCAGTTAATATGATGTTACTTAATAATATCATATTCATGAATTCTGGATTTTGAGTAACAAATCTGAATTTTCTTATATTCAAGTGTAGCAAGTACCAATTACGAAGGATTATATAGACAATTATTGATGATTTGAAACCTCTCATCACAACAATCGAACCTCTCAACATCATCCTCGTCTGTCTTCATCATTTTCATTTTTTTGGAGATATGCATCTTCCTTCGAACTTTTTTCTTTCAGTTCGACACATAGGTGCACCGACTCAGCTTTTATTTATTCAAAAAATCCATCGAATTGCCTACGATTTCCAACGTCTACAAACGGTGCGTTTTGTGGTAATGTCAACAATACCTTTTTAGGAAACATGTAGCTCAACTCCACGTCGTAAAGTTGCTTCTCGATCTTGTACTCATCAATCACCATCCGAACAAATTCTTCAAAACAAGTTTCTTCATTTGTTCTTATAGATTTCTTCTCTCTTTTGTTATCAACACCAAATAACCATCTATTATTTTGAAGTATCCATTTTCCACAAATCAAATTAATGAGCACCATGTTTTATTGAAAAAGAATCAAGAATAAGAGAACATGAATAGATGTTGTTAAGATAAGAAGAGGAAGACAAAAAGGTAGAGACGACAGAGCAACACACGACTTCTAACCCTAATTTTCATTTTTAATTGAAAATTCGGTTTATTCTGATTTGGTTCGATTAATATGGAATGATTTGGTTTGGTTTAGCTAAATCAGTATAATTAGGTTAATCTATGTAAATTAGTTTATTATTAAAAGAAAATAAATTTGTGGTAAAAAAATATAAATCTATCATATAAATCAGTGGCAAAAAGACATAGATCCATCAAATACTAATAAATTTGTCAAAATAAGATAAATTTTTGCCAAAGGAAAATAAATTTGTGAAAAATTAATTAAGTCTGTCAAATTGAAGAAATTTGTCTCTAAATATAAACATATCTGTGATGAAAATAATTAAGTCTTTCAAAATTAAGTAAATTTGTGGCCAAAGTGGAAAAAATCTATTGGATACTAATAAGTCCGTCAAAATATAGTAAATTTGTGGGAAAAAAAAATAAATCTGTGACAAACTAATTAAGTCTGTTAAATTTAAGTAAATCTATGGCCAAAAAGAAAAAATCTGTTAAGTAAATCTGTGAAATATTCATAAATTTGTCAATATTAAGTAAATCTGTGGCCAAAAGAAAATAAGTCTGTCAAAAAATAAATATGTCATCACATTAAATTAAGCTTGTCATATGGCAAAACCGTAATTCTTTTTTTCAAAATTTTTGATAATGGTATTCCTGTAAATAAGGTTTTTACTAACAAAGGGTCTGAGAGCAAAATAGGCACGAAAAAATCAGTAGTAATTAAAATAAAATATGAGCTAATCTAGTAATTATACAATAAATTAGTGCCAAACTAATTTTTTTCCCTTGAATAAATGATATTATTTTATTGGCATTTCAGAAGTAGCATTTCTTGAAAATTCTCTAAGATATTTTGGACGCTATAATATTTTTAAGAGGAATTTCCTATGATATCATAGTTTGAAGCTGTGTTTCCAAAAATACTATTATTTTTCAAATGTTCCACAAATACCACCAATTTTCAAATATTACACAAACACCACAAAGTTTTGTAATTTAAATTTTTTAGGTTTGGTTAATTACTCTAGA